TTCTGACAGGTGAATGTCCAATGCGATAATCAGCACACAAGGTGGAAAGCCAAATCGGCAACCAGAAAATTGTGTCGTTTTAATTTCTGTGTTTGTGAAACCGTGGAAATGGCTTTTCTTTCTACCATTATTTTTTCGTATATTGATTTATGGGTGGACTTTGTGCTGACGCGGTAGATGTCGAGCCAGTTAGTATCTGTAAAATGTAGACATCAAAACCCACTCCGTTATTGTTTCTTCATCGTCTTATGAATTTAACGGAGCTTACGCTGCTGAGCGGACCAAATGTATGATCGTTAGAAGTGGTCAGAAGCAGCAGTGCGTTGAGCACCATTAGATCACCATGCTGTCCATATTTTGGACGATCACTCACTTCGTGTCCATCTCTCATCTAGTTCTAGCCATCAAAACTAGGATAAATTCATTGTTCAGTAATTTTAAAAAGTTTGCAAATTTTGTAGATTGCATGCAGTATTTTTGGTTGATGAGAAACTTTCTTTGCCGGTAGACGTTCCTTGAGTTTTAAATGCAAAAGCTTCCACCAGTGTGTGCTCCCAGTGCTGACCTCTGCCTTCGAAACCTATACCATGTTGCTGAAAGATTTTCACAGACTGCAGGCTAAGCAACGCAGCATGGAAACACATTTTGATAACATGAATAAATGGATAAGAAAACAAACAGTAGGCTATACTGTCCCTAGCAGAGCGAAGAAATCACGGCAAAGGCAAGAAGAATCGACCGTCGTGTTTCCACACAGAGATTAGATTGGTTTCAGCAGAAAGCAAATTGACCGTTGAAAGAATTCTAGTTCGATGGCAGGAGTAGTTGGAAATGTTCGATGGATAAAGATGAATTAGATATGCAGAAGACAGAAAATCTATGGCTATATGCGCGACAGATCCTCCTTTAGCAGTGGATCGAAAAGCGCATGATGACGATGAAGGACGTTTAACTAGCACTAGATAGAACGTTGCAAGGTAAGCTTTTAACCTGGGATAAAATGCGTTGCTTCCCTATCCTTTGAAACGTGTAATTCTTATGACGTCCTGCCCAACCGACG